TTTTGGGGGGGGGGGGGGTAAAAAACAAAGATAATTCATTAGTTGTGTGCGAGAAAGTGGGATGAGAGGACAATAGATACACCTTCCTGACAACTACAATAGCATTGACCACTTCTGTTTTCATTGTTCAGTCATCAGCCTTTTATTTTCATGCTAATTTAATCAATGTGTATCCAGTCAAAGGGGGACATTTTCACACCCTGCTTTAACATCCATTATTTTTAAACTTGAGTCCAAACTGGTAAATGATGATGACCTGCACATGGGGGGTTAATTGAGACATGAGGACTTATTCTGACAATGTGTTAGTATGGGTGTGATTGAATTAGTGGACTGAGAATGTTAAGTGGTAAATGATGTGTGTGCTGCTGAGGAGTGTGGTACCATATGTGTGTCTCACATTCTCAACGGCGTGAGAAGTAAGGTGTGTGTGTTGAGAGCGGCTCGGTTGCGTTTGTGTGTGTCAGATGTGTGTGTCGACGCCTCGGTGATTCATCAGCTGTTGAATGAGCTTTATTTACGCTCCTGTTCATCAAGATGAAAGCACATTTCACACCGTAAGGACAATAAAACTCCTCACACTGGCAGTCCTTGGGTCTGATAGCTGCCCATTCTTCTGCACAAGCTGTGTTTTTATGTTGTTTAGTTAGCCAGCAGATTAAGTGATTAAGATTCCACAGCAATTTTCTAGAGTCCAGAGTATGTTGCCTTTTTGTCAGTTGTTGCAAACAGCTTCAGAGCAGACACTTTAGAGGATACAGCAGTGATTTTTAAGGTAAGAAATGTGTTTTTTGTTTCCCTTTAACATCCTGAAATCACGAAGATTGTTTTCTCTAAAAAAATCTCTATTTTATTTTAATAACATGTAATTTGTAGTGGACATTGGGTCAGTGTTTTTCCAAACCAATACCAACATGCAAAATGGATTCTCGTGCCTCTGCCTCAACTCCCTGTGATTTATGGAGTTTCTTGATAGTTTCAATTGTTGCTAAAGTAACTAGCTAACAGCTGCTAACTGTAACTGTGCAGCTAGTGGTCCCATTAGTAGCTGACTCTGCCTGCACTGGGGGCTCGGAGCACGTGTTGGTGTTGCACACTGCTAGCACAGGAGTGAGGTTTAATAAAGCTAATAAAGCTTTATGTGAGCTTTAAAGCTAATAGGACGGCTAGCTATACAGCTAACCAAGGGCTGCAACAGTTAGCAGCAGTTACTGGTTATTTTAAGTAAAGCTATCCGTCCACTGGGAAACTTGGTAGATAATAAAATTGAGGCAAAGCAGCTAGTTATGAAGTTGTGTTTTTGTACAGAAAAGTTAATTAGTGAGACCCAGTCCACAGAAATCAGAATCAGAACAGTGTTTATAACCAAGTAAGTTTTCACATACAAGGAATTTTCCTTGCTAAATTGGTGCATTGGTGGAAAAGCTCCACTACGGCATCTATCGTTTTCCCAACCAAATTTTTGTCCCATTTTTGGTCTAATAAACAAATAAATTCATCAGATTCAGGTAAAAAAAAAATGTCGATGACGTGTTTTGCATATCAAGAACGGAAGTGAGATCCTATCACAAGTGGTCACTTGAGACGCATTCTGATGCCAGGTGTGAACCAACGTACTTAAAGCTGTCCACTTGAGACCGGATCACCCAAGACGCATGTTAATGCCGGGCGTAAACAGGCCACATGGCCACACGTAGCAACTCAACTTGACAGCATTTGTTAACATAGGTCATGGTTAGCAAACAATGATTTGCTTACTAACGGTATAAACAAACATGCGCCGTGATGTTGGCTCATCTAATATTACACATTACTCTGTCCCTGTGGAGGATTGTTTTTAAGATAAGGTAGAATAAGATGAGCCTTATAAATAAAAGTAGGAATAGAAACTATACAAGAGCAATTAAACTCAGAAATACAAAGCAAGCAGTATCCATACAGTATCCACAACCAATAACACTGTGCAATACTGTCCCAGGTGATTTCATGAATCAATAAATCTAATAGACTCTGCACACATTTTTATTGCGTTGCTCCTTAAAAGGCACATGTATTGGATAGTGATGAAGGCTGCATGGAAAAAAAACGTTGTGTCCTCTGTAGACAAAATGACTTCCTGTCATTGAGACCCTCTTCTGTCATCATTAGTCAATATAACGAGGATAACTCACAAAGCTTTCTGAGCACGGTGGAAACTCTGCATGTTTACACGTTTATCTTCTGTCTCCTGTGTTTACAGACTTTGTTTCCAATAAACTATCAATGTCAAAAGCCAAGGATCACTTATGAAGATTTGTTCATCGTCCAGTATTTGAGACCCATTTCATTATGCCACACTGTAAACCAACACCAGGGGCAATACTCTACTAAATCATATTAAGTTACACCAATAAACATACTCTCAGTACAATATCTTTCTGTGTAACTCAGAGGAATACAAATGCAATATGTGGCTGCTATAGATATAAATCTCAAGCTTTCTATATAGCCAAGTATGACAGAAATTAAATTATTTCCTCCAGATGTTGGAGACTGATATAAAACATATAGAGAGAGCCAATGCAGCAAGTAAATGTACATCAGTGATCAACAGTAGCAAGATGTAGCAATTCATAGCTTAAAGAAGGCACTCTCTTATTCTTTTGTGCGGGGCTCTCATTCTGGTGGTAGTATAGCTATAAACACTCTTCTTCGTCTTCTTGTCTTAATCACCATCATTAGTGACAGCAGATCTCAATAAACCACGAACACACGATGGCATTTTTCACTTAGAGGAAAAATGGTACTTACATTTAATAGCCCATTACATCTGTCCTCTTTGAAACTTCCTGCACTCTTACAAAGCCCTTGGCCACTCATGCATCATTTACAACAACAAAGACGACGTCTTCAACTTCCTAAGCACTCTGGATGGTCTACTTTTTTTTTTTTTACATTTTCTTCCTTCGTACACTTTTATGCTTTTTCCCTGTTTCTAGTCTTCAGGATCCAGCACAGCTGTTTTCCTGAAATTGTCCCCACATTATCTCTGCCTCTCCCCCGTCCATTATCACCTTTTGTTTAGACTCAGTCCAGGTGTTCCGCTGCCCTAAGCAATGGATCCCTACACAGCTACACTCCTTTAGTAGCACCAGTAGCAATAAAGCCATAAACCTACAGCACATCCTCTTGTGCACCAAAGTAATATAAGCAGAGACACAAGCTTGTTGACTTTAGATTAATCTAAGTTTATAAAAATGAAGCAGTGCCTTTTGGTTTTTTTGGATGCATCTTACTACCACAACAATACTGACATACCAATACCTCAACTTTGTAATTTATAAAGGCAGGAAATACAGACAGATGGAGAGGACCCAACATGGAGTGCCTCTGAAGTGTTTATTACAAACACAACATAAATTACCATCTGTGTGTTGGTGTTTCTGTGTTTGGCATATGTATGGTTGTACTTTACATACTGTATACTGTAGAGTATATTCTGAAGACATATTCTTGTCAGTATGGATTCTGTGCCATCCCAAGTAGCAGTTCCCAGGCAAAAAAAATCATATCACCTGCTTTTGCTGCCAAGGTGCATGTAAGACCCTTTTTGTGTGCTGTGAAAGTTAGCTCAAGGTCAATGTTAGCTCAGTAGTTGGACATGAGATGTGCTGACCTTGTTGTAGAATCAGTGTTAAGATTATGTGAAACCACTTATATATTATGCCTGTGAAAAGTATTGGTCATCCAGATTATATATATACATCTAGAAGTACTAAATCAAAGTAAACTGAAACTGGACCAAGAAAAAAAAAACGGAGTTGTGAACACCCCATGGAGGTGAAACAGAAGTTCACTTGCCTTTGACTAAAGCTGATTTATTGTACATGATCAGGCAATATTGTGCTTTAAAAGCGTACTCCACTGATTTAGCATTGCATTCCTACAACATTGTTGGACTCGCAAAGGACACCAAAGGGATCAAAATCGAACCAGAAATGTTGTTTACTCCACACATTCTTCTTGCTTGTCAAAACTTGGCACCTGCGTTACACACAATGCAATTTGACCTCCAGAAAATTCTGTCGTAGTTTTGCTGTGCTGCCGAATCACAGTTCTTACAGTCCCTACGGGATGTTTCTATAGCTGCTATAGTCCCAAAAAAGTTTAATAAAGCCCAACATTGTATTTAAAAGAAGAGGAGCCATATTGATATTGATATTGATTGTCTTAAAACTAACCACATAAATAAAGTTTAATTGTAACAATGCAAAGAAACTACTGAAGAGATAATATGACATGTTGATGTATGAAGTCTTTCTTATAGCCCAGTAGCAGATTTAACACAGAGCTCTACTACTGCTTGTCATCCAAAGCAGATGAACAGATCATTACAGTTGACAAGTCACTTCTTCTGCTAAAAAGACAAATGTCATCTCAACTTACTAACCCATAAAACTAAAAACCTGTCCAGGCCCCAGTGGAAGGAATCTGTCCTCTATAAACACTGCGTGGTGATTGGGTGAGCCCAGGGTCCGCCTTTTCCAGACCCCCCGGACTATATAAAGCTCCGCCAGAGCCTCTCAGGGGTTAGAGGAATGTGATTGCCAAACAAACCCCTGGACCCTGAGCACCAGCACGCCTGACACACGCTTACATGCAGTCAAATTTCTACACACACCAAGATAACCTGCATACAGGCTGGCACCCATGTTTCACAGTATGGTTGATTTCTCAGAGAAGTACCTTGAAAGGTAAGAGCGAGGCAGTGGCTCTGTGTGTGTGGGTTAATTTGCGCTTTGATTTTCGTTATCAAGAATTAGAAACATTAGAGGGGAGGGTGAAGAAGGCGTGGATGGGGGGCGGTTTTGCCTCCCACAGGAATCGTTGCTCTCAAGCTGGTAGGAAGGTATCTGACCTCTACGTGGATCTCATTTGACAGTCGCAGTGAGGGAGAAGAATCCCCTGTGAGGGTGAAGCGCTCAAACTATTTTGGAGGAAGCAGCTTTAACTTCTAACTTGAGGCTGCCCCTTTTTCTTATTATACGCAGCCTGGATTTCAGGAATAGGATTGCTCATGTGGTCTTTGTGGCTAGGAAGGTGAGTTTGCTCAGAAATAGAGCTCCTTTTTTTGGTCTTGATTGAGGGAGACTGTGAATGAGATAGTGTTATATTTATGGACAAAATTTAGGACAATTCCCTTCATTGTTCTTCTAGGAATATTGCAGAGTGACCTTCTGTTTGTTAGGATTTCTCTTTCTCATTGTGTTGCTGTACGTGTTTTATGTTTTTTGGATAAATCATCTCCGGACTGGTTTGTTTTCCGATGAAAGTACAGGACAAACGCTCACAGTTTGTTCCCATATCTTGTTAGTCTGAGCCCAAAATAGTGTATATGTTATTTAAAGTGTTAGTGACACACTGACACGACCCATGACCCATTCTACTCGCACAGACATAGACGCACAAACAGATTCATGCACTTGCACTGTGTTATTTGTGTGTTGCGTTCACTTAACAGGCACATAGCCTTCTGTAAACAGAAAGGGGCAGAGGGAATGAAAACATGTTTGAACATTTCAGTTCCTCCTCTGTCCACATTACTGTACCCCGGATTTCACAGGTCAGGCTTTTCAAAGGGTGAACTCCTGTCATTGTGGGATAAAGCCTCATGTAGTGGGGTAAAGTGGGGCGGTGGATTTGGCTTGTGCTTGTGTGGTACATTGTGATCTGCAGTACGTCTGTCTGCAGCTATCCCCCATGTGCTCTAGAGCCTTTCCCTGGGAGTGCGGCCTACTTTTTAGAACACCAGGAATAGCCAGCGGGGTGCTATTAGTGTGTCTAATATGAGTCAAGCAAAGAGGGAATAAAGAGTATGGAAGCCTGGAGATAATTGTGGAGCTAAAGACCTCTCTATCCTTCACTCAAGCGCATAAAGCACTCTCTCTTGCACAGACACAAGCAGACACTCAGGTGTGTGTACACATTACGCCTGTGCTGCAAACATGACATTCTGTATTTTGTGTGCTCATGGAGCAGTGGAGTGTACATTTCTGGGTGGCAGCGTGTTGGATCAAAGATCATCCTAATTTGATAATCCTCTACAGAGCATGTGTCAGTCTTTTAGCAGATTAAGCTAAGTGTAGGGGTCATGGGATGTAATAAATCCGATATGCGATACAGTACATTGCTAATTGTATTAGCGCTAGGGAGCTATTAACAGGCTCAGCTGGAGCGATAAAGTAAAGTATCAACTTTAAATACAGAGGTACCTCAAAGTGAGAGATGCCGAGAGGTTCCATTAGCACATAAAGAGCAGAGGTGCAAAGAGCAGCAGGTATAAGTATAGTATCATTATTAAGTGGCGTGTACCCATGTTTTTCTGTTGCTTTTTAATGTCAAAAATAGCTGGCTTTGTTGGTAGGAGTAGTGCTTCCTCTCTGTGGCTGCACGTCCCCTTTTCTTCCTGTTTTAAATCTTAGTTAAGGGTTTAGAGGTTTACCCTCAACATGCTAATAGTGTTGCCCTTTGTTTAGGTGATTAATTACAGTCAAGTAGCTGATTTTGCAAATCTCCTGTAGTCTAACAATGCAAATCTCTACGCCTGGAGGACACAGACATGCCTGTAGCCCACTGTTCAAAGGATGAAGAATCTGTCTGGTCTCATTGAAGGAGTTGTTGATTCCCATTGAGCCAATAACAGGCAGTTTCATTAATGGCTGAAAAAGTTGAGTTGCCATGCAGGAAGAAACTCTTTCTCTCAGCTAATCTCCAGAAACCCCACACCTCCTGCAGTATGACTTACAGTATAACATGCAGACTTATAGAAGAAAAAAAGTGTTACTGTAGTCAGTGTTGCCAGTGTGTAGTGGTTTGTTTTTAAGAGTAATGTTGGTGCTGCATTTGAGTTTCTGGAAATAAGTGAAGCGATAAATAATGGGATGATGTAAGCTCAAGTTGTTTCCAGTGTTGACACCAGCTATTGGGAGTTCCATGCAAGCAATCTGTGCTGCTCGAGGGCTGAAAATGTTTGTGTTTGCAATATCCATCGACACCCACATGGTGGCAGGATAGAAACATACATTTCCCTTAAAGTCACTGTTGTTATGACATCATTGTCTCATCGTTCCTATGCAGGCTCAGCTTGTATAAATCCCAGACATAAATAATAAAGCGCCTTTTGTCAGGCCAACAAAATATTTTCCAGCCCTTGTAAAAGCCAAAAAAAAGTTTCTTCTCTTCCTCACATGTACTGGCAAGACAGAGGCTTGTCTTATAGCTAACACATGCACAGCTCAAGACCTAATTGCCATGAGCACAGCCTAAAAATAGAAAAATCTAATGAACCCTGCTCTGATGTTATGAGTTTATTTAACAGCAAGAGAGTTTTTATTTGGGTAATAATGTCCTTTAGGCTGTGAGCTATTCACAGGAATACTGTGTTAGAGCACCCTGTTGTTTCCATGAAAGAAAAAGGCCTCAATTTTGTTCAGCAGTTCAGCATCTGGTTTAAACCTGCTGCGTACAGTGCACTTGCGTTATTTCAATCAATGGATGAGTCATCTCTCCACCAGTGATGCTGTATGGGGGTTCAGGTATTTCTTAGATTTTAAAGTGATGGTTCCTCTAAGAGCCTTTTGATCTCTCTGTCGTCTTTTATCTTTTTTCTCCTCACATTGAATTTCCATTTCTTCCCTTACCTTGCCTTTGTAGAGAAAAAGGCTTTCACATGACTTTTTCTAGATCCCACACCAATGTTTTTACATTCATTTTTAAATCCACTCAGCTCTACTTTCCTCAATGAAAGGTCTCTATATGGTCATACTCTCTGAGTCAACTAGAGTAATCTGCACCAGACCCCCCCCCAAAACCCAAACACACCCAAATCAATGCACCCACAAAGTCACACTCATCCTGATTTTTAAAGGAGGTATTCAGCTGTTACTTCCAACAGCTCATGCAGTTAGGTTGTATCATGTGTATGGGCATGTTTCTACCTTTCCTGTCCTGCAGCAGTTGGAAAAACTCACATCAGACAGCTGACTGTGTTCTCTGTTCAGTTCTGCAGCCGGGCTTGTGTGACCAACGCACATTTACGCATGCATAAATTATCTCTCTCCCACTTCCCTTTACACACACATGCACACGCTGGTGGAGACGGGGAGTTTTCCAACACCTGTGACTGGCATGAAAGCGGTAGTGAAGTGGGCATGAGTGGGCACAGGTGCAAGGAGGGGGGTTCTTTGAAATGTTTGTGTGGGCTTTCTTTCATCCCCATCCAAGTAAATTCATGTACAGTATTTGTGCTACTCTGCAGTTGTGTGTTCTCCCAACCCCCCGGTGTGTGCATATCTGAATGATAAGTGTCTATAACTGGAAGCCTTGTTTCTTAATTTGGGGTGTACATGCTCTCCTGGGGGCCCTGGGTTGGCACTGGGACAGCTTTCAGTGATTAGAGCCAGCGAGCCTACACTGCCGCGTTGCATTATTAGCAGGCCAGCCAATCCACAGTGGAAATCAAAAGCAGGGACTCAGGAAATGGGTGTTGAGTGAGGTCACATCCCAATGAGGCAGCACGTGCTCGAGGTCGGGAAAAGCCAGGACACGTACCATGGGATTATGGGAATGCGCAGAATTCTAAAGGAGCCCATTGGGGACTGAGGGTTGGTGTATCACCTTGTGTGAGATTTAAGGTGGTGCATGTGCAGCAGGGGGGCGTCTCCTTGTGTGTGTGTGTGTGTGTGAGAGAGTTTCTGTGAGGAAGGTTAAACATCTGAGGTGGGTGGTCAGGAGGATTTAGGATGCTGCTGCTGCTGGAGAGAAGCGGGAAGAGGGGTGAGGAGGTCACTGTGCCCTGTTGCCTCAGCCCTGGGTCAGCTCCCTCTCAGCAACCCCTCTAGGCACATGGAGAATGGCGTGATGAAACAGAGGAGTGAGGATTGAGTCTCTCTCCTCCTTCTCTGCCACATTCGCTCAGTCCCTGCCGAGGAACCTGCCAGGGACACATCTACAGGAAAGACTGTTAGTGATATTAGATTGACAGGAGAGACACTGACACGAAGAGAGGAAAGGGAGCTTGACATCCGCCTTTTGGAGAAAATTCTGTCCCATCATACCAACATACCTGGCTGAAGACTAAAATGTACACAACACAACCTTTATTTTCATCTTTTCTGGCTTTTGTGGGTTTGATTTCATGTGGATTGGATTTACAGTGCTGAAGAACTTAATTGGCGATTCCATTTTGCCTTGGATTGTTTTAATTGTTTGGACTTTGGACTTTGGACTCAACACACTTTCTTCCCATGTCTCTTTTTGTCTTCCTCCTCTCTCTTTATCATTCCTTTCACCCATTTTCCATTTTTCTCCTTGCCTCTCTCCTTTGCCTCCTTCTGTATTCATAATTTTTTCTTTCACTCTTCCCACTCTCTCCTTCTTTCTCTCCTCTATCTTTCTTCTTCTCAGGGCCAAAGACATGAAGAACCGGCTGGCTTTTCTGCGGAGGAGGAATGAATCCCCAGGAAGCAACCCAGCCAGCAAGTTAGACAAATCTATGAAGTCAGTCAAGTAAGTGGCCACTTCCTGATAGCATGTGCATGTGGGTGTGTTTGAGGCTGTTTTCCGGGTCTCGCCACAGCTGGTGATGACCTGGCCTTGGAAGACAGACATGTGGGCAGTAGTGATGGGAGTGTGCTTGAAATGTGTGGCACTAATAAAACGAATGAGAGAATGTTAGTGTAAAAGTGGCTCATCAGATAAAGCGGCAGTGAATTGTTTGGATGGAGGTTTTTTGAAAATATAGAAAATATGTTTACTGGATTAAATGTATTAATGTCAGTTATCAATGTAATGTAAGACTGATATTGTTTTGTTGCCTGTACTTTGGTGATTGACTTGGCTAACAAAAGTGTGTAATATGTAAAATCATTATATATTATATATTATTAGCAATTTGGACCCAACAAACCACACTAAATGTCCTCTGTGGAATTACATGACAAAATCAATGTTATTGATTATTGTATTAACATTCAGCTTATATTAAAATAGTATAATAATATTATAATACAGTGCTTAGATGTACTAGAAGACACAACCGTAAGATTCAAATTGTAAGCTTTTGACTTTATGGAATAGTCAGAATGTCTGCTAAAACTTAAACCCATTGTAAAAAGGCACAAAAAAGCCCTCTAAATTGCACCTGAAATTGCATAGCAAGCTTTTTCTTACTGTGTCAAATACAACCTTAGATGTGGATTACAGTGAGTGTGTGTGAAGAGGCATGCTTTATAGCATGAGCACAGAAAGGATGAAAGGCAGCAGGGGGCAGACAGACACTGNNGGGGGGGGGGGGGGAGGTCTCTAAACCCATCAACACATCCCCATTGGCCGGCTGGAGCCCCTCCCCTCCCGCCTTCCAAGTTGCATTCAGTGGGAATATAAAAGCCTACCCCCACAAGGCTCAAGCGGATAGACTCTCTGTGTTGTAAGCACTCATGAGGCAGAACCAAATGTGAAGGAAAGACCAGTAGATACAGACTAGGGTGGAAGCAAGCAACGGAGGGAGAGGAATTACCCACTTCCACGTTTCCACCCATCTATCCAGCATAGACAAAGTTCTGCGGATGGGTCACACAATGAGAAACCTGGCTGAGATGGGCTTGTTAAAGAATCGCTCTGCTTTTATCTGCAGGCCCACCCCAGAGGAAGCACTGAAATGGGGAGACTCACTTGACAAGCTGCTGGCACACAAATGTAAGTTACTTTAAAGTATTTTTTCTCTCTTTTGTCTCTCATCTTCTCTCTCCTTTTACATACATGAAAATCATCTGATCATTTCTGCGATACGCTTTAATATAATGGGGTTCTAGACAGTGGGTGAATTGCTTGCATGAGGGGGGAGGGTGGTGGAGCACAGGAAATTTGCATGCACAGATACATGGATTACACACACACACACACTGCCGCATTAAACGGTCAGCTTGCAGCAAGTTTCCTTAATCCCATACTTACATTACATAGAGAGAAGGGGAGAGACTAAAACTGGCAACCTGCAACTGTGCTGCTATTTCTGTTTTCAACAATTCGTCTTACACAGTTCGGCCCCAATCCTTTTTGAAAGCAGAAAGCTGACACAAAGCCAGTGCTACATCTGTTCCTCATTCAGCTCTGTTGGCCTCTTTATTCTCCCTCTTCTAATTTCCTCTCCTCCACTTCTTACCTCACTCCTACCCTACTGGAATGAGGTAAGAGATGACTGCCTGCATTGGCTCTGCTTATCAGCTTGGGTGATTCATGGGAACGGAAAGGTGCAGACGGGAGCAGTGGGTGGACTCGGCTTCCTGCTATTCTTTCTTCTGGATGCCTTCTTCCTCAAATCATTAACTGGACCGAAACTTAAAAAGCCCAAAGTGCCAGAATTAGCCCTTTCCCCCCTCACACTTCAACAGTAAAGTCTTTGTTCATTCACAGCATGGGGAATGCATAGATGCCAGGGTGAATAGTAAGGAAGGATTGGGTCAGCGGGTTGATGTCACTTAAAGGATGTTGAGGACTTGAATAGGCGCTGCGGTGTTGAGAGCGTTTTTTAATATGTCTCATTTTATTCCAACCACATGACTCAAAAAGGCCGTCACAGAGCTATTTTAGGCACTGAAACTCCAAGAAGTGCTTCAGCTCTGAGGTTGCCATGGCACTCTAGTCAACTCTCCTAATGTTTATTCTCCTCCTCCTCTCTGCTCTCCCTCAGATGGTCTGGCAGCGTTCAGAGCTTTCCTGCGCACAGAGTTCAGCGAGGAGAATCTGGAATTCTGGCTGGCATGTGAGGAATACAAGAAGATCAAGTCGCAGTCCAAGATGGCCTCAAAAGCCAAGAAAATCTTTGCAGAATACATCGCTATCCAGTCTTGTAAAGAGGTGAGTGAGAGTGTACACAACTCATCTGGATACTGGAAAAAATGGCATCAAAACAGCGTCCTGCAAAAAATATTAAACATGCATTTTTCCTTCTTCTCTTTCCTCACAATAACAGCGTAATCTTGCACTTCACTAACTTGTTTTTGTTCTTTTCTTGTGCAGGTAAATCTGGACTCTTACACCAGAGATCACACTAAGGACAACCTGCAGAATGTGACACGCTCCTGCTTTGACCTAGCGCAGAGGCGGATATACGGGCTGATGGAGAAGGACTCATACCCCCGCTTCCTGCGCTCAGAACTCTACTCGGACTTAATCAACCAAAAAAAGCCCAGCTCCACTCCGACTTCATCTTCATCATAAGAGACGAGAAAAAGTTATGAGGAGAAGAGAAAGATGATGATGAGAGAACAAAAAGGGGGCAGACTTGAAAAAAGTAGAGTGGGTGGGTGGGATGTGAGGGTCTGTGTTTGCCTTTTTTTTTAACTTTTTTTGTGTCTGTCATCCTGTCCACTATAATTTTTTTGTTGTTGTTGTTATGGTGTGAGGGGACGCGGCAAAGCAATGGCACTGCAAAGGAATGTAGTTTACACAGTTACCAAGTTGATGGATGAGTGAATGGACTGATGAATGGATGGATGGATGTTACTACAAATACAGAAGCCCACGAGTGAGGGCTAGAGCAGGAGCTGGACGCTTGTCTGATCACTGTCTCTACCTTTTTTGTTTTTCTTTTGGTTGTGTTTTTAATTTTTCGTCCAATTGTACTGGAGAAAAGGAGGGGTTGCTCAGAAAACCCTGCAGACATGAAGACAGTCCGGTACTGTTTTGTCACTTTTTTCCTTCATTTCCTTTTAAAACTCCCAGAAAAAAATCCCCTCCTTTCCTCCACCTTGTTCTCTGTGAAGCCACTTCAAAGCTGTTGGTACGAGAAAAAGTCCCCTTTCTTCGTGTATTTTTTTTTTATCAGGCTCTAAACTGTATGATGGAGTAAAAAAAAAAACAAGATGATGTCTCCATGAAAGCTAGCGCTATGGCTCTGTTTCACGTGCATCTCAGTTAAACACCTACACCCTCTCAAAGCTTCTATAAATGGCTTTCACCTTATTCAGTTCATCGCAAGACTGTGGAAAGATACTGTGAGTGTTCAACAGGGACAAAGACGGAGACAGCGATAGGCGAAGAACACAAATGTATAAATAACGGATGGACTAGAGCTGTGATGTGAAACACGCATGTGTGTCACTCTCACATTAAAAGACATTCAAAGTCACATTCAAAGCCAGTAATGGAAAAAAAAGACGACTTTCTTCCTGTCTCCAAAGACTGTTTACAACAAGGAACGAAATCTCAAGAAGAAACAGAAAAACAATGTTTGGTGCAGCCAAATGACATTTCCTTTAACATTGTAGCTCATTCTGGATCGAGGAAGCATTCTCAGGACATTGCTATGACGTGTTCCAGCTTGGTTTATCTTCTCAGCTGTTTCTGTTTTTCTATACACTCACTGTTTTATATGCTTTAGGTTCCAACCTGCACTCCTTAGTTCTAGTGAGCAATACACAAGAGGTTGCTCATGTCATAGAGGAAAAAAGAAATGCTTCATGTTGTACAAAAGTTTACCTATTTATTTAGATTAACTTGCTGGATGCTTCTACAGACACCCTCACCTCTAAAGCACTCAGCTAAAAGCTCTCACTTTCCTCTTAACCACCAAACAGGTCCAATGCTGTCCTGAACTTTAAGTGCAATATTTTTTTTATTTTGTATTTTATGTTATTATTATGTTTGGTTTGTTCATTTATTTGGATAATTTTGAATTTTTATGGGAAAAGACGAACGGCTTGAGCTCTGTAATAACTTTATTTGTTAAGAGAAAAAAAACAAACCATAGAGCTATAAGGTTGACTTACAACGCAAACTTTCAAGAAACATAAGTAGTTTAATGAATTTTAAGCAAGTGATTCTAACTGTGTGTTAACCCCCGGCAGCAGGCAGCTGGGGGTGTTATGGTTGTAAATATAATTCTTTAAGAAAACTATGTGATAACACATTAAAAACAAATAAAAACAAAAAACCAATAGGTCTCTGCTGGTGATGAATGTGGGACCCAGCTGTATCTATGTAAATATGAGAGACTCAAAACTATAAGATGACATGTATTGTTAAAAAAAAAATAAAAAAATAGGTGAGCAAGAGCAGGTACAATCTGCTCTTTTCCCTGGTCATACACTGCTTGTAAGGAGTTTTCTGAAATGCATTTTATCATTTTCACTGTTTACAATTCAAAATGCATCTCCTATGATAGCAAGTGAAAACAGTAGAGTACATTTGGTGTCATTGCTAATGATAAATAAACCAACCAACTGATGAAGTAAGATGTGTTGTCTATGGATTTTTATTGCAATGTGTATTTGCCCTTTCATACTGGTTACAAACATGTCAAGAATGATGTGCATACAAGCAGTCCATAAGCTTCCATGCATTGATTAAAATTTGCTTAAAGGAATTTTTCAACATTTTTAGTAAATGCACTTATTCCCTTACTTGCAGAAAGATGGGAAGATTGATAACTACTTTCATGTCTGTTAGCTAAATATGAAACTACTGCCAACAGCAACGTAGCTTAACATAAAGACTGGAAACAGCCAATGCCTCAATCTGCCTACCAGCCCCCCCCCAAAAAAACTCACAAATTAACACATAAATAGACTTGTTTAATTCATACAAAAACTGTAAAAAGTTGACAAGTTGTGATTTTATAGGTAGTTCGGCGTTGGATCAGTTTCTTTGCCGAGCCAGTGAAATCAAGGTGACAGCTCTCATTAAAACCACAACTTGTTGCTTATACCCATTTGGATTAAACAAAGCTATAATGTGTCAGGTAGTGAGCTTTAAGGGTTCTGGTAGAGAGATATGTTTAAACCTTGAACATAGTCAGGCCAGCTGTTTCCCCCTGCTTGTAGTCTTTATGCTAAGCTAATTATCTGCTGGCACCAATTTCACGTTTAGCGCACAGACATAAGTGTCTGTAGAGTGCTATTAAATTTTCTCATTTACCTCTGGTTAAGAAAGTGAATCATTTCCTAAAATGTCAAACCATTCCTTTGAGTAACTGTAACATAAAAAAACATCTCATATAAATAAATTCTGGTTTAGTAGAACTTGGGTGTGATCATTCCTGTTGGTAATGATGACATCATACTCCCAAAGTTAATTCCTGAAATCTTGAAACGTGGCAACACTAAAAATAAATCTGACTGCTAAAACAAGAGCAGTTGGAAAAAACATACAGGTTCAACTTTGACCTGCATTACAGTTACGCATGCACAGCTTTTCAGTGCAGTAAGGAATTATTACACATTTTGGGTGAGCTTAATTTTGGCTTTACCCTCAAACTGGTTTAGATAATTTGGCTAAACTGATTGACTGAACGCTTGTGTTTCATTCCCCGCCACACTTTATTATAGCAATGTTACAGACCCAAGAGTACAATGTTATCATCATAAATAATGATGGTTAATAAAAAAAAGTTCTTAAATTTGACATATTTATTCTTTAACTCCCATATAAGCTATAAAAAAAAGTGTTTTCCTGCGGACTGTCAACGATGTGAAAGATTGAGTGGAGTAGTATTGAGCTGGTGACACAGAACATCAAGGCTTGTCCTGATTCCAGCTGTCTTGTTATTCTAAAAAAGAAGAGCGAGTAAGTGTGACACGAGGTCAAGTGTTGGCTGGGCTGTTGGGGTGGGATGCGAGGAAACAGTTGAAGTTCTGTGAGGGCAGTGTGTGTATGTGTTTGTGTGTGTTTGGAGGGGGTTGATCGGTCTGAAGTGGTGTTGGAAACAGTAGTAACAGCGCCTAATCTTCTTAACCAGCTGCCATCTGCTTTGACGGACACGGCTTCTTTTTCCAAAAGGAATTGTCATCGCCCTTTCTATCGCCTCTCTCTGCCTGTTTCCTCTCTGTCTCACTCCCTGTAGACTCTTTGTCTTCAGAACCCACGCTTGTATTTTTTTTAACGCTCATCTTTTATGCCATACAATGGAGGTCCGGCTCTTAAGCTGGATTCCTTTACCAAATCGTTTTGTTACAAGTTTCCTTCCTTTTTGTAATCTGTGTAAACCATATCACAGTGTCTGTCATTGTTTTCAAATTCGGCTGTCACGTGAGCCCCAAAACACGCCAGCTTGCATTTCCTGCCCAGAGCTCTTGTGTCCTGCTATACCAAATATGGCCGTCAATGTTTCCTCTGCTGTGACAGTCTCTTATCTTGCTTTCTTGTCAAGTAAAAATGTGTCACTAGGATATGGAGTGTTATTATCTTTATTTAGTGTTTCAACAATATAAAGATACGCATGTCTTGTGGGCTACAGGGAAATAAATTTCCAATAATTTTTTTTTTTATTGCTTTGTCAGTTCAGAACTTACAGTACACATGCTGTATAATTCAAATAAAAAGACTGAAACCTTGTATGCATCTTGTTTTATTTCACGGTTCTGGCATTAAAAGATCACTTCACTCAGTTAGTGCTTCAGACTAGAATCTTAAAGGTCCAGTGTATAACATTTAGGAGGATCTATTGGAAGACATGAAACATAATGGTATGCTTTTATTAGTGGATAATCACCTGAATATAGGAATTTTGATGTTTTGTTTCCTTAGAATGAGCCACTTTTATCAACAGATGCCTCGCGCAGCCTTCCGTGGAGGCCACCATTTTGAACTGCCATGTTTCTACAGTAGCCCAGAACATAAAAAAACAAAAACTGGCTCTAGATAGGGCCGTTACTTAGTAGGTAAGGAGATCCCTTGCACTTGGTAAATGCACTTTTTGTTGGGAGTCAGAAGAGCATACCACTTACATAATTTAAGTATGATGCTAGAGGTCATTAGCTTAGCTTAACTTAAAGACTGGAAGTACAGAGAAACACTTCCTCTCTGTGTAGAAGCACTACTTATGAATTAATCAAATGAGATATAACATGTTAATTAGTGAGAGGAGTTAGGTTGGCATATTGTTTCTGCCTTTGACTAGCTGTTTCCTGTCTTACTGCTAAGCTAAGATGGTCACTTGTTGGCTTTAATGAACAGATATTAGAGTGTATCGATCTTCCCATGTACTTCTCGACAAGAAAGCGAATAAGCGTATTTCCCAGAATGTCAAACAATTCCTTTCAGTGTCTGTTATAGGCTGTAAAACTTTCAGAAAACTATTTTAATTGCTTGAGATCAGATATCCACAATTTAATATGTCGCAAATACATTTTCAAGAATTGCTGTACAGATTCTTTTTGTCTGTTTTTGTGGAAAGCAAGTTATTTAACACTTACATCATGTAGTTGTACAAAGCCCTATTCAAATAAAAATATGTGTATTAAATTATGTAACAAAATTTTATAACAGTTGTTAAACGTTCCAGTGTTTTTATGCCTCTATCATATGACCTCGTATAAATAACTATGTCAAAACCAAGCTGTTAAATTGTGTATTTGATATCTGTTTTTACCATGAACAGCAGTCATGCTGAATTCAGTGGGACTTCCCCTCTTGCCTCTCATCTATTTGTGCAGCAGTCAAGGGGCTTAAGCCTTGATTAATCCTTAATTCTCAGATCAGCCTATCCTTTAAACTATTGGCACGTTTACAAAAGAAACATCACGTCTACCCAGCTGCACTCGCTGACTCAATGGATCCCTCAGTGCAGTTTGGTGTGCAGGGACTTGTGTGTTTGTTTGTTGTCTGCTCTACTGTCTGGAGCGAGTCTCTTATTTTCATAACCCATTTTGTCTCATCCACACCGTTTTAGCACAATATGTGATACAAAAGAGGATCATCATTGGAGAGTCTTCCTCGTATGTATTTATTCTGCTGCATTCATCACAGTTTCTGATCTGCTACACGAGGTGATGTCATCATAAACGTCAAGATATGTTTATTTTCTTGCACCCTTGTAACTGCACCATCTGTAAATGTGTCGTTACATGTTTCCACATTTTGCCTCGGTCTGTGAAAAAATACGTTCTGGGATCAAGGAACCAAGGAACCAAGGAGCCCTAACTGCACTGAGCTCACCTTTATTGTGGAACATTTTGTACATGGCACACTACCTGCCTCACGCACCGGCACTTGTTCAGTTTTCCATCATTAGCACGTAGCTCAATAGCTTTAGCGGATGTCGTCATTGCTGCTGGTAGACAGGGATTTTAAAAACAGCAACAGACAGAGGAAGGGAGAGTGGAAGGAAGGAGAATGTAATTGTCTTATCCCAGTGGTCTAATCAGAAAAGGTCAGCTTTATATATAGGTGGCCTTTATACAAATGGATAAGCTTTATTATAGCAGGTATTGCAGATAGTTTTGCAAAAAAAAAACATTTTGATGTTTTGGGAAATGCAACAAAGAAAATAAGTTAGAATTAGATGAGGACATTGATTCCACTCTATTGTAAATATGAAGCTACCACCAGCAGCCACTTAGCTTAGCTTTGAACAAAAACCGGAAACAAAGGGAAACAGCTAGGCTGGCTCTGTCCAAAGATAACAAAATCCACCTACCAGCACCTCTAAAGGGGAGGTTCACTTTGCTTTGAGAGACTTGACAGTGTACTAGATTGAGATACAGTATTTTACACAGTGAACCTTTTTGGGGGGATTTTGTGGGGTTTGTCATTTTAACAAAATTGAGTTTTCACTGCCACGTAATACAGGGGAAGAGATGACAATGACAAACATGAGGAGTCATTACTCATAACTGGTAGCTGAAGTGTCAGTATACATAGCCATCCTTCCATAGTAAACAAAGCAAACCGAAACCATGAGTTGGACATTTTTGCAACAATTACATGTAAATGATTATGTATGTATGTATGCATGTTTTTGTCAGCCTGTGTGCTGTATATAAGCATGTGTGTGTGAGAACCTAAGGGAAAAACTCTTCCATTCATTCTTGAAACATGACCAAATTCTATACAGGCACAGCTGGACTGAGAGGAAGCAGAGCAGACCTCGGATTTAGACACACTAAATGCACACAGACTGACAGACACACACACACACACAAAATTCAAAACAATCCTGGAGCTAAAATTTCGCACAGCATGAGAACCCTATAACTGTCAGAGGAAAGCCTTATTTTCAGCACTTAAGAATAATTAATAAGTTTGACATTTTGGGAATTACACTTATCTACTTCCTTGCCAAGGCTTAGATACTCATTTCTCATTTCTATAAATGGCACTTCAACATGATGGCCTCTGTAGAAAAGGACCTGCTCCCATGTAGATAAAAATGGATCATTCTGATAATCAAAACGCAACGCAAGATAATCAAAACACAACAGTTTCAGGTGATTTTACATTAATGAAAACATACCTA